GCTCAGTGATCTGTAGCAAGTTTCTCTGGTTCTCCTCCAGGTTTTCACCTTGTTCCAGTCTAAACAAACAAACACCTCCTTCAGTCAAGTCCAAACTATGGCAGATGAAGTGGTAGGTCACAATCTAGGCAACTGTCAGACCATTTATGCAACAAGAAGTGGGAATTATGCAACCATCATTCAATCTCTACCTAAACATCTCCCAGAACTGGTGGGACTGGTCCATAATATGTTTTGTCTTTCATCTCGTCATATCTACACTTTAAACACAGTAGAGATATAAAAAAATGATCAAGTGTGACCATCAGAGCCTTCTGCCACTCTTGGTTAGGAATATTTTATTAAGACTTCAAATTCTCACACAAACACGCTTAGTTTAAGACTTACAGTATTTGCTACTATTTCTACAGAAATGTTCTAGTATTGTAGGTCTTTTGATGAACAAGCATAATTTTTTTAACCAAAGCTTTTTATGACTAAATATGGTCATCAAGTCAAAGATGTTACCAAGTACCTTGCTTCCTTTCCTTGATTTTATTGTTTTATAACACTACTTTTTATTTGAATTGCATTTTATTGTTGTTTTTTGTTGTCTGTACTTTATATGTCTGACTTGCTCTTGACGAAGACGGACACTTTCTTTTCCCTCTCCTGCCTCCTTCCTGCTTTTTCTCTTGTCGTGTGAATCTTCTTTACACATGTTCTGAATCATAAATTATGGATCTGGTCAGCTGGTCTCTCAATGCAAGCGATAACATTTTCTCGACGAGAAGACAGGGTACAAGAGAACCCTCATGCCCTGAAGGGAAAAATGTAGCTGGATATATCATGGATTCCTGGGGTGAATGGACAATGATTTGTCTGTCTGTATTGTCCGTTGAGGAGGTTGGAGATGCATACATAATTGGATTATGACAACATTATCTGCTTTTTGGAATTGGCGGGTACCTGGGATATTGACAAATTAGGAAGACATCAGTAGCAGTTTTGACAATGGTGAGGCTGCCTGCCTATGTGAAGAATTGTACCATGCTTCGAGCACTCTGACTCAGATGCTTTGTGAGCCTGGAACTCGCTGGCATGAAGGAATCGCATGAAGGCTACAAGCACAGACCGGCAGAATGACCACAAATCTGGCTGTTTGGATTTGCCATTGAGTGTACCAGCAGAACTATGGAGGTAAACATGAAAGCAGTAGTTGGCCTGCCCCAAAACAATTGTTGTTTATCTGAATCTGGCTTCTCTGTTTGGCCTTAGATAGACCAACTTATCTCAAATTGCTCCTGGAGGATATGTAAATCATGAACCTCTATCCCCCCCCCCCCTCCTCCCTCCCGGGCCCATCTGTGGACCCCTATCAGAGCTGAGCCGGCTGATGGACACTATGGCATATTTATCAGGACTATGGAACTTTCTGGCAGTGTTCACGGAGAATCTCACCACCTTTGTCGTCCAACCCTATCCGCCTGCAAATGTCTTATGCCTATCTATGTTGCTTTTTTTGTGCTGAGGCAGTTTTTTCTACCTTACACTGCATCCCGTGTGTCAAGGACATAGTGTGAGAGATCTATTTTTTATACCTTCTTCTTTCCTCATGTTTTTCTTCCCTCTTATTATCTAAATGATAAGGGTAGCACTTCACAGCGAAGCTGCAGCCGCTCTGCACCTCCATCTACCCTTGTTTTCTTTGGACGGCTGCACTGAAATGTATTTTGTTGTCCTTAACTGTGAGTAGCAGTATAAAAATATATGTGGCTAGAGACATGTCACTTCAGGTTCAATGAGGTAGGCTGGTGTATAAATGGAGGTGGTAATGCTCATTCTGGCACCTGGTTTCCTCTTGCTTCCACTATGTGGCTCGGAACCCGTGTGGGATTTGGTTGTGGCTGAGCAGTAGATTGTGTTGCAAGTGCTGTTCTGGCCTTCGTGGGTAGGTGTCCTCTCTCAATGCACTATATCTTGGTGTGATTGTAGGTGAACGCCAAGCTTGCTGCTTTCCTCCTCCTCCAGCGTCTGTGCGTGAGTTTGCATGTGTGTGTCAGCAGATGAGTAGTTGAGGCCCGACTCTCATTGTCAGCTTCAAATGTAATACTTTTGTTAGTGGATAGTTGACATATCAGTGACATGGTTAATTAGCCACATGCCTGGACTATAACTTTTAAGAGTATTTGGTTTAAGTTACAGTAAATTTATTTAAATAGGTTCTTCATTTTGTTTGTTTACAGCCCATTTACTTTGTGAACTGTAGTGTATAATTTAGATATTTAGGTGGGCTGGCATTTATTTATTTTTGAAGATATTTGAGATATTTTGTCAAATTACTATTTGTAATTTTTTTTTTTTTGATCAGACTTAGTTTGGTAGTTGCCCTTTATTAATTTTGTTATTTTCTTTTCCAGTTGCTGGGGTCCAGGGCTGTGCTGGTTTAGTGGCCTTCTTACTGTGACCTCTGTTCCTGGGTGTTTGTTTTCTTTCTTTCTTTTTTCATAGGATTGTAAGAAAAAAGAATAAAAAAAAAGTAGTTATAAATAAAAATGGAAATTAATAAATTGAAGTCTGTCTCAGATGTCCTCAGTATTTCTGTAAGATCTCTGAGATGGTGTGCATTGTAAATCGCATAATGTGAATGAGCTCCACTCGGTACCACCACATGTGCAATGACAATAAAGTTGATTCTGATTCTGATATGTTGCCTTTTATGTTGGTACAGAGGAGTGGCATTATTCTACGACAGATTCTGGTCTGTGTGATGTTGTGTCCAATTGTGAGATCCAAAAAAAAAAACAATACATTCCTGGTGGGGTCCACCTCAAAGCTGATGTGTTCAGGGGTTGAGATTACCCCTCTTAGCAGGGGTTCTAGTAGCTTCTGCAGATATGCTGCTCCATATACCTGTGGAGGGTCCAGTAAGAAATCCACATTTAGCATGTGAGTACCAGAAGCAGCAGGTTAATGTGAGCTGTGGGTTTCATACCTTAAAACAGAAGGTCATGATCTTACTGGCCAGGCTGTTCCCTCTGAACAGAGTTTGCATGGAGTCAGCCAGCTCCACCTCTTTAGAAAACATGTTCCACAACAGCTGGTACAGTAAGTGACGAGAGTCAAACAGAGTCACCAGAACCCGGGCCAGCTCATCCTGGATACCAAAGGTTAAAAGATAAAATAAAAGATACCTGAACCGGAAATGCATTCTGAATCAGATAAAAAAACATGTACCGGTAAATTTTAAATCCTCCTTCTTCCTGATGAGTCACAAAACAAATCTAACCCTAATTTGAAGTTGAGCCATAAATACAATACCATCAGAAATTAAAACAACATTTCAAACTGACATTTTTTTCTTTAAATGGCCTCTAAATGATCTCAGGTTTAAAATGTAAGAAAATCTAATAACTAGATAAAAATTGAAAGGTTCTCTTTGATTAGTTACAGTAGTAATTTATTAGTAGTAAAAACAATATTAATAATACTAGTAATTAGTAAATGACTAATTAGTAGTAATATTATTTAGTGGAGCACAATAGAAATTGTAACACATAAGGCTAGCATCACGTGCTGACTCTTGAAAACTAACTGCACAGAACTCAATCACTAATCTACCCAATCTATCTATTTTTTTTTT